AATGGCTCTCTCCAGGGCTGCCAGATCTCTGAGGCCAGGGCCCAGGTTGGAGGCCTAGAAGCCAATGCACACCCCACTATGGAAGTGATTAAGATGGGCAATGCCTGGTGGACACAGAGCACAGAACACGGAAACATGGCTGGCCCTTCAGTCCCCTTCTACCTCAGAGTTCCCTTTTATTTCTAGAACTAGGCTTGAACCCAGGGCCTCACACATGCTAGAAAAGTCTACTGTTGAGCTGCTCCCCCGGCCTCTTTTCAGTTTTTATTTTGAAACAGGGTCTTACTAAACTGCCCAGGCTGACCTTGAACTAACTATAGCCCAGAGGGACTTCAAAATTGCCATCCTCCTGCCTTAGCTTCTTGAGTAGCTAGGCCTGTGCTACCAGGCTTGGAGTTGCTCCCAGTTTATGTTGGCTGCCTAGCACCCAGAGAAATGGAGGGCCAGATGGGAAGTTGGGGTTTCAGGCCACCTGTGGGGACCAGGGCTTCCTGCCCTTGCTGGGCTCCACAGAGACCTAGCCGGAAGGGAAGTGTTTCCTACCACACCCCAGCTGGCTTTTGCCTCAGCTTAGGGATTAGGTGGCTGTGACTGATTTTCTGCAGTATAGGAGGCTAACGGGTTGCTGGTGTTTCCCATTCTCGCGGAGGACAGGGAGACACCCCTGTCACTGCTGAAACTTCCCCAGAGACCCCTTGCTACAGCAGACCCGAGAGACGAGGAGCACAGGTTGGCATGAAAAGGACACGAGGATGTATTCTTAGGTTGCAGTGACCTTGAAACAGATCTTGTCCCCGAGGGTGGGGCCGAGGGTTGAGTGTCTCTCCTGGACATGGCTACCCGTGTCCCTCCCCAGGCCTCCATAGGTTTTCAGGAACTCCACCTTTCCCCCCCCCAAGACATTGTCATATTGACCATCAGGTCAGTGGGGCTCAGAGCATACAATGGAAGTTCTAAATATGAATACACAGGCCAGCCTGGGCTCAGGAGTCCCATCGCTTAGATGGAGAGGGGCACGAGGTCTCTGCACAACCTTTGACCTTGTCTCCCAGGTGCCGTGGGCTGAGGCCATCACTTTGCTGTCACCTGCAGTACAGGCTCTGATGTTCATTTTTGATGGTCAGAGGCAGAAGGTGGCAATGTCTCTGTGACTCAGGAAGTCACATAGGCAGGAAAGCTGAAAAAAACCACAAATAAGGGACTCGGTCAACAAAGCCGAACTACTTCAGGCTATTCTTGGAAACGACACATCACATCTTGTTTCTTCCCAGAAAATGCAAAACCCTGCATATTTCTAGCTAGTTGGTTCTATTTCTATTACATCTCAAACTCCAGAGAGGCAACATCTGGGCGGTGGTTAAAAAGGCAGGCTACCAAGAACCAGCCACGAGGAGCCTCTGATTGAAGTATTCTTTTTTTTGAGACTCTGTGCTCTCGTGTAGCTCAGGATGGTCTTGGACTCACTTTGTAGCCAAGGATGACCTTGAGCTCCTGCCTAATCTCTCTGCTTCTACCTTGAAAGCACTGTGATTATAGGCTTGGACCACCAGGCTTAACTCTGCTTTAACAATTTTTGAGCTTTGTCATTTGGGACTGGTGAGAGTGTTCCCCAGAGGTCGTGAACCCACAAACCTCTAAGAAATGGAAGCTCGTAGTACTAGGCAGGCCCCTGACCAACATTGCATGTGTGCACTCTGTGTTTTCGGTTCGTTATCAAAACTCCCTGGGTGAGATTCCCCCTTGACATATGGGGAAATGGAAACTGGCCAATTCAGTGATTTGCTCAAGACTAATGGCTAAGAAGGTTGCTCAGCCCTAGATCTTCTGAACTGATGCTCTTGGCTTCTAGGGTTTTTGTTTTATTTTATTTAAGACAGGGGTCTTCCAGTGTAACCCAGGCTGGCCTAACATGCTTCTGCCTCCCAAGAGCTGAGACTACTGGAATGTGCCTTGTCCCATAGTTTTAAGGTTTATGTAATGTCTTGACATAGGAAGCTAGTCTAGCAGGGTTTGGGGGTTTTGCTTATGTTTTGTTTTTTCGGTTCTGGGGCTCAAATCCAGAGTCTGTGCATGCTAGGCAAATGCTTTGGGAAGCCAGTCTAAACCATGAATTATGCTTCTTTTTAAGTTGCTGTTTGAGCCCTTGAAAGACTAGCACTAGTTACAAGGCCAGCAAACCCTAAGTACATCCCAAAGCTGATTGTATCTCTCTCTTGTGAATCTGTGTTGTGAGAAGTATTGTCTCCATCTTACAGACAAGAACACTGAGGCTGCCTACTGAGATGACTTACCTCATGTCCCACAGCTGGCAAGCTTGAGACCAGACTCAGACACAGGTTTCCTTGACTAAATAAATGCTCTGATGTTCCCACAGCGACAGCCACCTTCATGCGACAGTGCCGTCTTAAAGCAGTATGACTTGGCAATCCAGTCTTTAAAAATATGGAGACTGTTTAGATCCAGGGAGGCATGTTCAAGCCTGGTACAGTGGGGCTCGTGTCCAAAGCCAGAATTAGCTCCTCCCATGGGCCCTCTACCTCCCCTTCTCTTATCGCACCCCAGATAAGAGCCAGTTCTGGAGTTCTCACACCCCCAGACCCTTGTACCGCCTTTGCCTCATCCTCTCTTGGAGTCCAAGATTTAAGTGGTTTCAGGAGAGAGAGAGAAGACAAGTTCTTCAGGTTTGTAAATTGTCTCCCGGGAGCCAGATCTGGCTTGATACTTGCCAGTGGTGTGCAGTTGTAGACAGATTTTAGACGGGAAACTGGGAGTGGAGAGTGGGTTTGGCTATAACGTGTTACGTGCATTACATATGTTAACACACATGCCCAGCACTTCCTGGACCCGTGGTTATCATCCGTCTCTTAGAAGAAACCGAGTCTTGGCATTAAGTGGCTTGTGTGAGGTCAATGTGCCAATGAAGGGGCTCTGCACACCTGCTCCCATATCTCCAAGGTCACCCCACTCCAAGGTCAGTCCATCCTTAGCAGGGATTATAGGGTTACACTAGAATCCTGGGTGCCTTGTTTTGTCTTCCAGCTACCCTCCACCCCCTCGTTCAATGCCACACTGTTGTGCTTCCAAAGATAGATAAGTCTGGGAATGTGAACACACTCAGAGAAGCAGGTGAGTCCCACTTTCTTTGGGTGCTCTCTGGGGGGCAAGTATGGCATGCAGAGAAAGATGAGACATGGGAGGTCACAGTGCTCATGTGAGATGCCAAGCAAGTGCCGGGGATGTTAGAGGAGCTAAGGGAGCCCAAGGGAAGGAATTCATGTCTCCTCCAAGACAGGGCACTGGCATTGCCGGTCCGGTCCTCTCCACTTGTGTAACTTGCTGGGCGGCATGGATCGGGGTAGCCAGGTAGGCCCTCCTAAAGGATGGGCCTGGCCAACATATGCAAGTTAAGACCTCGCACAGGAATGGGGTTTAATCTCCATATGAGCCCGGTGCCAGGCACAGAGATGCTCTCAGGGGAGCAGTAGGCGAGGATAGGCTCCCACGTGAGCCATGTATATCCCTTGGCCTGGAGGAGATACTCCATGGTGGATCTCAGGACCCCTAATCTACCACTTTTGCAGGAATCTTGAGCTGCTGACACCTTGAATCGGCTGTTGCTGTAACTCTACCAGCTCTTTCCAGACTCATGCCTCTGAACGGTGTCTCACTGGCCCGTAATGTCCACTCTTCTATCTTGTCCTGAAACCCTCCTCCTTCCTGCAACAGAAGCAATCTGGCATTTCCTGGGGACTTCTCCTGCTTCTCTGAGCTGAGCACCCCCAGGCTCTTTGTTTGGACAAAGTGCCCTTTTGCCCATTGTTCTGTCTTCTTCCCCGATGGGGTCTCTCTCTCTGCATGATCCATCTCTGTATTCCCGGCACCCAGTGCGATACTGACATTTGCCAAGGCACCAGAAACTGTTGTGGATGAATCAGAAATTAGAGGAAAAGATACACAGCCTCCTGACTGCTTTGGGTATTTTGAAACCAAGCTCCGATCCAGATGTGCCCTTCATAGATGATCCTATCTGGAGAGTGTGAAGCTGCCTGGGAGCCTTCTCCTCTGTGTGTTGTCCAGTCTCCCATTGCCAGGCTCCTCAGCACCCCAACAGTTGGCCAGTCCAAAGCCCTCACATTGGCCTTCTTGCACTAACTATACATTTTGAGAGAAAAAAATAGCTTTGCTTTGAAGAAGTGGCTTTTCTTCATTTTCATTTCTTTGAAGCTGAAATGACTTCCCTAAGAAATGCTTGAGGTTAGAATGGCACAGAGAGAGGGAGGCGGGGAGTATGTCCCAAACCCAAACAATTTCAGCGATGTGAATGAACACCCCCCGCCCATTGCATGTCTCCTCCATCGGTCCAAGCACTTGTTCAAACAGCTCCCTGCTTGGTCTTGCACAGAACAGGCTCCTTTCACTATTGGCAAAGAAAAAGCCATGTGACTCTGTCTTCTGGTTGTCTGACTGAGGTAGATGGTGTGCTTCCAGCAGATTCCAGTAACAGAAGTTCTAAGGGGAAAAAAACCTCACCCCAGGGTAAATCAGTGAAAAGGATCAGGAAGCCTGAGGGAAGATGGTCTATGGGGTTTTTGCCTGTGCACTGACATAATTTTAACTAAGTTGAATTCCTGTTAATCAATTTGTAGCACCAAGAATGATATAGGTTGTCCACAGGGGCTAAACCGACTGTTCCATTCTGGCCTTTTCCTTTTCCTACTCGCTGTTTTTAGAGCCATCTGACTTGCGGCATATTGCCTGGGTCCTGTTGACATTCTCTGGAGTATATTTATATAGCTTTGTGCAATCTGCAGTTCTCCAGCCAGGGAAAGGATTGGGGGCTGGGGAGAGAGGTTGCCAGCAAGGCGTCATGCCAGGCTAGAAGGTACATTGGACCTTCTCCAAATAAGGTCCAGGTGGAGCGGTGAGCACGCGGCATCAAGATCAGCCCTTTAGTCCCTTTAAAGGACATGAGACTCACCTGTCACCGCCTTCCTTTGCAGGTGTGACACTTTCCCAGCACTTTATGGTAGCCCTCTCTGACCCCTCCACACCACTGTTCCACACAGCTCCTGAACCATGGGAGAAAATGAGGATGAGAAGCAGGCCCAGGCCAGCCAGGTCTTCGAGAACTTTGTGCAAGCTACCACATGCAAAGGCACGCTCCAGGCCTTCAACATCCTCACCTGCCTCCTGGATCTAGATCCACTGGACCATAGAAACTTCTACTCTCAGCTCAAGTCCAAGGTGAACACCTGGAAGGCCAAGGCTCTATGGCACAAACTGGATAAGCGCGGCTCCCACAAGGAATACAAGCGAGGGAAAGCCTGCATGAACACCAAGGTAAGGGGGACCCCCACAGACATTCCCCATGGGACGGGGAGCTGGAGAACTAGTGTCACCTTGCCACTTGCAGGTTCTTAATAGATGTGCCTGTGGGTGCTATCTGGTAGTTCTCAGGGGAAGGCTTCCTTTGTCTGGAAGGGGTGCCATGAAGTTGATCCTATTGTGGTGGCCACATCTCCCGCTTTGCACCTTCCCCAAGGGAGGGAACCAAAAGCAAAATGGAGACATGAAGCAAATGCCACCATTGTATCTCCTACTTTTCCTGTCTCTACACCCCTGCTGCCTGTGGGCCCTGTTCTTTATTGAGCAACTTCTGTATACAAGGTACCTTTTGTCCCATTTGAGCCCACTGGACACCTGCCGTAGGTCTTTGAACTGCTTTAGAGGTGTGTAGACTAAGAAAACAATTGTTTTACCTGGGTTCATACTTGTAGAAGGCATGGTGGCGCTGTCTGATTCTGTCGCTTAAGCACCGTGCTACCTGCGCTGTGTCCTTTAAGTGCTTGTCTACTGGTAGCAAACATTTTAGAGAGACTCCTGTTTGTTTTTGTTGTATGGGGTGTGGGTGGGAGTGGGTGCACTTGCCTGTATGTGTGCATGTGAGGCCAAGGGTCAACTTCAGGCATCTTCTTCTATTCTCTACATTAGTCTTTTGAGACAGGCTCTTCCACTGAGCTGAGAGCTTGGTATTTCAGCTAGATTGGCTGGCCAGTGAGCCCCTGGGATCCACCTGTTTCTGTCCCCTCAATGCTGGGCTTGCAAGTGTCTATCTCCATGCCTAGCTTTTACATGGCAGCTGGGGATTGGAACTCGGATCCTCAAGCTTGTGCAGCAAGCTTTCTGCCCACTGAGCCATCTCCCCATCCTGACTCCCTGATTTTCATTAATAGCTATAATAGTCTCTGGTCTTTTCTTCTTAACTTCTCCTTGCCCCTTCCCCAGGATCTGTGTCGCACCTGCAGATAGTCCCCATAAACTGGTTGTGTCCCCTGTGGCCTGTGATTGGCAGCATCAGTGAACCTAGGGCCCAGAGCATCACACCTCTGACATCTCCGACATGTCACCACCCCACAAGCTGTGAAAGCTGAGATTCATTGCCAGCCCCAGAGGACTGTCGCTGGTAGAGATCCAGGCTGTGTGTTTAGGTTAATGTTGAATGCACGGTATTTAGACCTCTCGGGAGGTAGCTCAGCAGAGCCCATGGAATTCTAGTCTGTGCCAATCCCAGGATGAGAGGATTGAACTCTCCATAGCAATGGAGCCTGTTGTGTCTTTGTTTTGGTGATGGGGAGTGGTTGAGGCCCCCGTGGGATACGGCTGCTTTCCATTGCCCCAGGGGGACAGCTGCCAAGCTCCTGAGTCCCAAAGCACCAATGTGCAGAGTACAGGAAAGCGGCCCAACTGTACTAAAACCATGTGCACTTCAACTCTGAGGAGGAGAGCAGCCCCCTGCTCACTCCCCCCATGCTGGTCCAAAACTTGCCATGCTCTAGCCTCAAGCAGAAGACACCAGGGTGGCAAAGGAAGAGGGAGAAGACAGATGCCTTGGGTGCCCCTCCACTCCCACCAATGCCTCCTTTCAAAGTTGTTATAATTTCCTGGTTCATGGATCCCTGGGGATTGGGGGAGGGTGGGATGCAGGAGGCTTCAGAGTTACCTTTTCAATCATTGTATATGGTGGCTTTCTTTTTAAAAGGACCCCATGTATGGTCTTTGCAAACCTCAAGAAAATCATAAGGAAGGTACCTTAGAAAGAAGTTGTGTGGTCACTATTTGACACACTCTCTCTCATGGAGGATTTCTCTGGAACTGTTAGCCCAGGGTGACTTTGAACTCATGGCAATCCTCTTGTCTCGGTGCTAGGATTAGAGGTGTGAGTCACCTTGCCTAGCAGAACTGTTTTATTAGGAAGTGGCATCGCCCAGGTGGCTGATCCAAAGGTGAACCTTCTGAGGAAGCCAGCCTGCAGGGCAGGAGAGGAAGGCTGGCTAACATGATGTCTTTTGTTTTGAGTCAGGGTCTCATATAGTGCAGACTGGCCACAAACTCACTATGTACTGGTGGCTGGCCTTGAACCCCTGATGTTTCGCATCCACCTCCTGATTGCTAAGCTTACTAGCATGCACTTCCATGTCTGGCTCCGAGGGTGTGCCTTGAAAAATCACCAGCCAGAGGGTGGCTTGTCTTGTCTGGCCAGTCCTATTTTACAAGCTCTAGTGGCTTGAAGCAGCTGAGTCCTCACACCTTGTGGCTGACAGACACTATGTGTACCTGAGATACAAAGAAAATGAGAACATCTTTGGTTAGCGGGGCTTTAGTAAGTAGTAGTACTTGAGTTGAGCTTGAGTTGATAAGCCTTGGTGAGGAGGAATAAAGGCTTTTCGAATGTGCGAGAGTCTATCTTATTAAAACTGCCTGGCTGGGGAGTGGAAGGGTCTGAACAGGCACTGGCAGTCTAAGAGACTCTGGGAGGTCACTATGCTGGTCTTTTCAGCACCCCAACTCACACCAGTCAAACCGGGAGGAAAACCATTCAGTAATGGAGGCAGGACGGTTCATCACGCAGTCTTTCCCATCCTTTCTCCTTCCATCCATGTTGGATATGTTGCTCTGTTCTGCTGTAATGTGGGCAGGTTTCTCTCCTCCTGGAATGTCTGGGTCCCATCTTGACAGGTCTGTGACCCCAAAAGGTACATCTTTCTCGTGCAACTCAGTAGTGGATTTTTGATTACCCTGCCTCTGGATTCATAATGATCAAATCCAGGAAACCTGGCTACTGTAATTGTCAGCCCTTCCAAGCATCACATGATTGACACGAGGGTAGAGCAGCTTCCCCAGGCCAGGAGCTCAGACAAACACAGGTGTTTTCCACATCTACTAGTTACTTTTCTCTGGTCAGGCCCTCCCATACCTGATTCATGCATGGGTGATGGGTATTCAGCTCTAAGAAGCCATGCTGCTGTTCTCGTGAGTCAAGCCAAACCACAGAAGATGGGTCCCACCTGTCCTCCCACGTGACAGACACTGACTTGTTCACACAGCATGTTTATATTTTCTTTGACATAATAGTTTATGCTTAGCATCAGCCAGATAAGAAATACTAGACCTTAGCAAACATGTGGTTGATCATAAATGCTGTTCCAGATAATGCAGGTGCATTGAATGCCTGGCTTCATTAAAGCTCCCAGTTAGCCACGGGAATGAGTATGAACAAATGTAATTTGTCCTGACCCCTTCTTTGTATTGAGGGGAACATGATCCAGTACCATCTGGAGTTGATTTGGGCTTACCAGCCCCCCACCTGTACGTGCTAAGTTCTGTGGTTGCTTCCAAATCCCTAACCACACATGCCTGCATGTACTGCTGGCAATGGCCGGAGGGCCAGGACCTATGAGAAGAACTACAGTGGAGGTACCTAGAAGTGAAAATGACCTAGCAGGTCTCCAGAGCACTGGCCCAAGTGTGCATTGCCTAATTTAGCCTGAGATAGTTGTTTATGACCTATTAATATTTATGAGGGCTTCATTAGGCACTTCATAATTCATTCCCTGGGTGTGGCTCTGGATAAGAATGGGGTGAACCAAGGATCATATCATATGAACTCTCTTGAGATTGATGCCACCTTTGCACTAGGGCCACACCTGGCTCAGCTGTGACATCCAAGTGGGTAGGTATTACGCCAGGCCCAGATGAGCCTGCAATATGTAATTTGGTATGGAGCTGTCACACCCCCAAATCCATGCACTTATGTAATTCTAGAAGCAGTGCAAGAGAATAGTGTTCTCGTCATCTGGCAGGTGACATGTGGGGGGCGGGGCACAGGCAGGGAGCCACAGCTGTTTCGCGGGAGCCAGTGAGTAGCTCTGCTAGGGTTCAGGCTATCATGGTTTGCCCCAGCAGCAGGTGTTTGTAGATCCCTGCACCTTAGCTAGGCATCCAATAGTAAAGATGGTTGAAAGATGCTTAAGAAGGTATTAATCAGCCAGGTGATGATGGCGCACGCCTTTAATCCCAGCACTCAGGAGACAGAGGCAGGCAGATCTCTGTGAGTTTGAGGCCAGCCTGGTCTACAGAGTGAGTTCCAGGACAGCCAGGGCCGTTACACAAAGAAACCCTGTCCCCAAAATCAACAACAGACAAGAAGGCATTAATCTACCTTTTACACAGTGTTTGAAGCCAGCTGTCAAACACTGCCAGTGAGATGCTGAGGTGGTTCAGTGGATAAAGGCACTTGTCATGCAAGCCTGGTGACCCGAGTTCAATTCCTGGAGCCCACGTAAAGGTAGATGAAGAGAACCAGCTGCACCAAGATAACTTCTGACCTCCACACACATCCCACGGAACACATCCCCCAACACACAATAATAATAGTAAATTTAAATTATATTAAAAAAAGACGTAGTTTTCAAGTTATATGTGGCTGCCCATGCCTGTAATCCTTACACAAGGGAGGTAGTGGCAGGAGGACCAGTTCAGGGTGAGCCTGGGCTACATGAGGCTTTGTCTTTAAAAAAAAAAAAAAGTTCTCACCTGAGCTTTTTATGATGGAGACAGGAATGTAATTACTTCCTTATTCATCTACATATTTGATAATTCACAAGATGAGTGTTACGGAGCTAGTACTATATACCAAACGCTTATCTAGGTACCTGTAAATACTTCTGTAGTTCTGCAGGCCTCTTTACTATCTCTCTGCTTTTCTCTGTCAAATAAGAATAACAGTGGGTCTGTTTCACAGTGACTTTTAGGGTTAAATACAGTCACCCTGTGGAGTCCTGCAGTGTTGCCTTCCACATAGCTAATGATCAGCAAACACTGAGCCATCCCAATCGTTACCATCCAAGAGCTGTGAGAGGGGTGTGTGCTCCAGTATGCCAGGATACAGGAAAACAAATGACTAACTGGCTGGGGTAGTCTGGAAATGGTTCCTGGAGGAGGGTGGATGGTGTGGGAGTTTACCAGGTAAGCAGGGCTCTGTCTTGTAGAGCTAAGGACAG